GATAACTCAAGAGCTCAGGAAATATTATCTTTGACAGATTAGGATTTAGGAATAGTTTTTTATTTAATTGCTAAATAATATTCTTTAAATATCTTTTTCTAACTATTATATTACTAGTGATTCAAATATTTAAAAAGTTAACTGAATATTAAAAAAAAGGAGGTATCAATGTTAATGAATCAAACAAAGTAATAAAATTTGAAACATTTTTGATAGTCAGAATAAGCAAAGAAAATGAAATAAATTTATTTATGATAGTTTTAAGTTTTTGTATCCAAATAAGTTAAGTGGACCAGTATTCATGGCTAAGTCGATGGGGATCTTATGTAGGAATATTTACTTTTGGAATATTTTTAAGTTATACAATTTATTTTTTTAAATACTACAATAACTAAAAATACTTTAGATATTATTGTGACATTTTCCAGCATTTTTATGAAAGGCTTTATGCAGGTAACGAAAGTAAAAGTTATTTAGCAAGGAACTATCATTTTATCTATCATCTAAAAAAAATATTACTTACGATTATAATATATACGATGGTAAATTATCCTTATTTCGTATGTGGTTCTGGTATTGTTTTTAACTTAATTACAGCTATATTGACAATTAAACTTAGGCCTTATTAATTCTTATTTCAATCAATAGTTAAAGCTATCGGAGATTTCATTTTATCAACTGTTTGGGTATTTATGATCTTTTTTTATAATTTCAAATTTAGTAACTCAAAAGATACTCTTTTAAGCTAATAAGAAGTAAAAAAATTTTTAGACATAGGTTTCTTTGCCATAATATCATTGCTGATCTTTAATTTTTTATTTTTAATAAACTTCTTATTTGAAAATGTATTTGTTGTTATTTACCAATACATTCAAAAAAAAATTAGAAATAAATAAAAAAAAACAAATGAATAGCCTAGAAAACAAATTAAATTATTTCCAAAATAATGATTGAGTAAACTTAATAATTTATGTATTAGTCCATTATAAAAATAAAACTCTCCAAATATTACATTATTAATAAATCATTAAAAAACTAATTTTTTCAAATTTGTGTTATTTATATTGTGTTTCAATTCAACAATTTTTGAATATATTTGTACTTTTAATTTAATAGATATATCTAATTTTAATAAAAATTATTCTTGAAATAATTATTTCAAATTTTTAATTTTTTTAAAGGATTAATTTAAATTTGATTAAAAGATTTTTAAATTAATTGGATTGGAATGCATTAATCCATGAAGTTTTCAACTAATTAACTATTGGTACTTTATGGATATGATTTAAATACTATTTTGTTTAAGTGAAATATATTTTATATTTAATATTCTTTAAAATTTAGATTTTACAAAATGGATATTTTGAAACTTTTAATTCAATTTTATTAATTTTTATATTTTAATTGAAATTTTTAAAAAAATAAATAAAAGATTTTGCAAAAAAAATGGTGTTTATTTATTTAATATATTAAAAATTATTTTTTTAAAATAAACTTCAAATCTGAATCATATTGCTTGCAAATCATCTTAAGAATTCATTTATGAGCTACTTAATAGTATCAAATTAATTAAAAATTTTTAAATTTAATCATATTTATTTTAATTTTGTTTGTAAAATAAATCTCGAAATGTTTATTTAAATAAACGAATTTAATTAAATTAATTATGAAAATTTTAAATGAGTTACTGAATATTAAAAAATTAAAATAAAATTATTATTTATATTATTAATCAAATAATAATTTATTTTAAAATAATTTAAATAAACACAAATAAATACTAATTAATTTTATTTATTTATAGATTGATTAAAATTAACCAAAATTAATTACTAATTTTGTGTAAAATTATTTTTTTTTCATTTTTAAAATAGAAAAATTAATTGCATATTTGTAAAAAGTTGAATAACTCTGAAATAATTTAAAAGTTCTAATATTATGAGTCTCTTATCTATGGATGGTTTTTATTTTAGGTGGGACCATTTATTTCTCCTCTTTTTTTATAATATACAATAATAATTTTATGAAAAAAAGTTTTTTTTTTTATTAAATTTATTACATTTTTAATTTAATTGAAAATCTACTTTATAAAAAATATTTCAAATTACCTTAAAGGATGATAGTTTTAATACAAGGAGAATTTTTAATAAATTTTGTTTTCAAAAACCTCTTTTTATTAGAACTTTCATGGTTATCTAGATGAAAATAACAAAAAATACTTTTGAATTTTATGCATAAGTTAAAATTCAAGAAAATGCTTACAATTAATTTTATAAAATATGTATAAGTTTCAAGTAAATTAAAGAAATTAAAAAAATTTAGAACTAGTTAATTATATTACTTGGATTGGGAAACCAGATATTAATTATTAATAAAAGAAATATTGAGTGAACATAATCTTTTTTGATACTTTTGATTTTGTTTTAATTATTTTGATAAAAATGAATATGAAATTTAAGAAATAAATTAATTAATTACCTCGGAAATTCGATTTTTAATTCTAAAGATTTAAGCAAAAATAAATCATAAATTTTAGCTTAAATTCTTAACAAAAAATTATAACCTATCATATGAAAAAATAAAAGATCAAAATGAGAGTATTAGAAAAGTTAGCAAATTTAACTTTAATCTTTTAACTATTCGCAACCTTTTTTTGCCAAGATTTGTGCAACAATTAAATTTTAATATCTAAACAAACATTTTTTAGCTGTGAATTAGGTTAATAACGCTAGATAATTGAAGGATAATACCTTCTAAAAGATACTGTAAGTTTAACATCATCTTTTACTTTGATAGGTTGGTATAACTTTTAGGGAAATATGGATTAAGATTATTTATTTTTTTAAGCGATAGATAAATATAATCAACACATTATATCTATTTCCTTAAATCCTATATAGCTAAAGATTAAAACAATTCTATTTGGTTTGTATAATCCTAGTGATGATTTAATTATTTCAGCAGGAAATTTATCTAGTATATACAATAATTGGTTTTTTTTAAGAATAACAATAGATCTTTAATATAGCTCAACTAACTACTATGCTCACTATTTGTTTTACAACAAAGATACAGAAATCTCAGGTATAAACATAAATTCTACTCCATTCAAAGAGTTTAGTGGAGTCTCAAGCATAAAATATTTTGATAACTAATATTTTCAAATTTTTATAGGCTAATAAGCAGTTTACCCCTATTCTGCAGCTTGTTCTATTGTTAAATAAGTAAAATAATGTTATTCATAATTAACGCTTAACTTAATTTATAAAATAGATTATCTTAATTATAGGTTAGGCTACTTAAAGCATAGGTTAAAAAATTTCATTATAAGAATAATAGATATTAGCGGAATAGGTTCTTTATTTTAATTTTGGTTTTGCATCATCTTTGCCTTCTTACTAATTTAATTAAGCAATCAACAATTTTGGG